GTGCATGCCGTGGTGTTGTGTTTTCCATGGAATCATGTCAGCAGACCACCATTGGGCATAGTGAGCGGCTTCAGCCTTGTTACCACCAGATTTAACCAATTGCAGTATGCTGCACTGAATAGTGTAGCACTACGTATGGCTAACCAAGTTTGTTTGTATTCTTTCCTAGATGTGGAATTAGAATCCTGGTCCAACAAGACTTGTGTAGTTGCCTTCTTGGATGAATGTTTATCTCAATCTAAGTGTGAAAACGCATGCATATCCATGGGGGCCAGCAGAATCAGGTGGTTCCACAATGCATGTTGCGAGTGTATGGGTTACACGTGCGAGAGCTACGGTAAAAACTATCCCCACTGTCGAGACTGTGATATTTGAACGCTTTCTAAAAAGAAGAATTATTGAATACAAAGAATATCTCATGACATTAACACTAATATGAACAAAATGGAGGCAGCTGTATTTTTCAAAATCTTCTCAAAAAGAGCAAATGTTTTATTTAACATTGAAATTTAAAAAGCATTTAAGTTTACTGTTATTTGTTGTCTTTATTTCAAACCGTGTTCATAGACGACAACCATTCTAAGTAAACCAGAGGATAATAGTCCTTAGTGGTTGTCCTCTTATTAGTGAAAATGGTGCTTTATAACATTGTTGCTTGCTCTATTGTTTTAGAAATTTATAGAAATTAATTTCTTTCATTTTTGATTTGCTACTTTTGTAATGTAAATTTTAGATAAATAAAATTATGTGTTACATGCTTATACTAGTTGATATTTTAAACTGCATGTATTTATTTAATAAAAATAGTTAGGAACACAAATACCAAATATAGTTTATAAACATCTCACAATGTATAGAGGGCACTATATAATTGTGGCTTACAGCCTCAGCATCAGGGGTTCTATCTGACATTTTCAGTTTCCAGTATTTTAAAAAGTGGGTGCTGAATAGAAATATTACATCCAATAAACTTTACACAATAAGCAAAACTAGGGACAGAGCATGTCAATGGTTATGACTACATCATAAATTGGTTTAAAGTAACTTAATCTGCTATTTATTACCATTAATTTACTATTTTTATATTATTTTCTTCATGTTTGAATAAAAGAGGGGTGCTCAGGCACTGTAAAAAAAATTAAAAAAAACCCTGGTTTACGCCACTTACTACCAAGTATTATTATGGGTTAAAATAAAATTTGTATTTTGTCTTATCCTATTATTATAATTGACAATAAATATAATTATTCAATTAAAAAATGTACTTTACATACAATAGCAAGTAGGCCTACATTAAGTATAATGGATCAGTGGTATTAGTGTCTGGAACCTTAATAATTATAAAAAAAATAATTAAAAAATAGTAAACTTGTAATTTTCATAGAAAAGTTTTTTAGAAAATGAAAATCCAATTGCTATAAAAGGATTATTTTGACAGACGTCTGTCGCATTCCATAAATTGTACTAACCAGCTTTCTGTGACAGGAAATAGGAAAATTTCCTTGTACATCACTGTCTTAAAAAAGGTAGTTGTTTTTTACCACTGCCAGCCTAAAGGCATAATGAAGAAATTTTCTGCAGCAACATAAGATTGGTGCTCACAAAAATGTTTACGTAAACTCTAACCTTTATAGGTCGTATGAGACTCATAAATTGGATAATCACATGATTTTCAAATGTATTAGAAATTAATTGGTGAATTTATCAATAGAATAAGTATATTTTATATGATTAAATTATTGAATTGTCACCATTACAGAGTGATACACAAACATGATAGTCAAAGTCTGTTGGCTAGTTCATAGTAATTTTGTATGATCTTCTAGTCACAGAAACTGTCTAGGAAACTTGTCTGGGAGTGTGTCTCAAATCAATGACTCTGAGCAAAAAATAACAAATGTGATATGATCTTGATATAAAACTATATTCATTTTTGAAACATATCTAATAATGAATTTCATTCTGTTTTTTTTTTCTTTGTCCTAATTTTACATGGTTATCAATTAAGTCTTAATTCCCTGGTGTAGTCAAAATTGGGACATGTGATTCTTCACAATAGTCATGCCTTCAGGAAAACAATGTCCCAAGATCATTTTCGCATTATTATAGTTTGATATTCTTTGCACTGGCAAAATATTAATTCTTTGTGCTGCAGCTCAGAAAGTTTACCTCTGGGTTTGCATCCTAAGTTTTCCATCATCAAACTTTCGAATGAGAAAGGGAATTCCTAAACAATATTAAAGCAGGTTGGGTTGACCTGTAAATATGATGCAAATATTATCGAAGCTGTCTGATATTCTACCCATAAATACAATACTTTTCAAAAAATTGCAAATGCCCTGTAAGCCACATGATTATCCAGTCTGGATTCTAAGACTTTAGATTTCCCTTGTACTATATCAAGGGATATCATAAACAAATAATTTTAAATCTTTTTATAGTATATAAAATATCTGTTTACACTTATTGCAATGGTGAGGTCTATTGTTTAAGATTATACGATACCTCATTTTCTTAGAATTTAATTAATGGAAATATATAAGAATAATAGTATAATAGTTTAATGCATCCAATTCAAAAGAGTTTATTCATTATCAATGTGAACTTTTCATTATGTTTTTGATATTATACTCCATACTACTTATCTACGTTACATTATAAATTTGTATTTCAAATTATTTGTTTTGGACATTAGTCATTTTCCTGGGAAAATATCAGTGTATTTGTGATTTGTATTTGTGATTTCATCAGTCAAAAATATCTAAATACAGCTTTTCAATACAAATTAAGTTTGACCAACATATGTGGATAAGGAACAAATTGAATTTTCTCCATGTGTTTTAATCTTCACTTTCTATTTATTCCAAAGAGTTTCAGGGTTTTAGATTCCATCCAAAGAAGGTATAATTATGTACAAATCTTCTGGTAGTTTACCAAAATATGTAAATGGTTTCTTTTCAAAAATGTTGTGTTTACCATGCTGATTTTGGTATATGTCCACTCCATACCACATGGACTGTCATTTTTTATATCTACATCATGATCACTAGTTGTGTGCTTCTTGCAAGAAAAATATAAATGATTATTATTATTATTGTTTAATGTTAACATTGGTTATTTGGAATTCAAATAAATGCTTGAGAGGGTGGGGTAAAAGAAGAGTAGTGAATAATGTTGCATCTATATATCCAATGTTAAAAGTTTATGTTCTTATTAAGGTAGGCTTACATCAGAGTTAGCATGGTATTCTTCATCATGTACATTTTTATGCTCTGTCTACTATCAAATTTTATGTGACAAATAAATGTGATATGCCCATATTTGGATGTAGTATGACATCATCATGCCTATATACCGACACACAAATTTATCACATAAACTCTGATATTGTGCACAGATCATAAGAGCACTGTATGAAAGAGGGGTGTTTTTTTTCCCCAAAAATGTTAATTATGTTGAAACTCCTTGTTAACTTTCTCCAAGCTTTAATAAATTGTGATACTAATAGGTAAAACCTGTTCTTTGTGTGAGGCTTCATTGGTGATATAAGGCTATGTAAAAAAAAGTTGTTGATTATCCATTTAAAAAAAAAAAGTTGATAGTGTTTGATCAGGTAGAATTTATGCAAACAAACAAATGAAAGACAAAATAATTACACACAAAAAAAGCCTAGTCCTAGCCAAAGTTGAATTACGGGGGGAGAAGGACAATATTTTCATGAAATTTGGGAAAAAGAAAAAAAAAAAATTGGTCGGGTGATTTTTTTTTATGTAGGGAGGGAGGAATCAACAACTTATTTTTTTTACATGACCTTAGGAATAAGATAAGTGTGAAATGTCTTCCGTCCAGATATGTTTGTACATACCTTTTGCATGTGCATGCTGTGTCTATAATAATTATATTAAAACAAGTGAAACCAAATAATAACAGCAGTGTACGATTAGTAATATTTATACTGGAAAACTATGTGATGTTGAAATTATATAAGAAGTTATAAGAAAGATATAAGAAATTATATAATTCAGGTTTTACCCTAATTGAAACTGATAATATTGCCAATTAATGTTTTAATTATGGTATTCAATTATAATTGGCAAAGTTTTTATACACAAAATTTAGATGTTTGGAACCATAATAAATGCTCAATGTTACAATTTACCTATAAATCCAATGTTACATAAAGTTGTTGTAATATATTAATACTTCATTAACAGGGTAACACAAAATATACTGTTTATAATACTGTATATAATGGCAAGGTGCTCAAAAAAATTAGCTTAAACCAAACATATAATAAAAATAGATCAAATAATTGATATTTAGTAAGAGAATACTTCTAATTTGTGAATTTTGATAATATACTACTAAAAATCACCATATTTGTAAAAAAAAAAAAGATGAGAATGTAATATCTGCGTTTGAAAAATTTACATGCTTGTGAATAGCTAAATGAAGTTTGCTAAAAGAGAATCTTGATTTTGATCAATTAGAATTTTATAGCTTAATGTTAAACAAACATATATATTTGGTCAATTTGAGAGTACTGGCATAGAATGGAAAGAACATGCAATGTCTACTAGCAGCAATTATGATTATAATAAATAAATATTCACAATACTAAAACTGAACCCATCATTTGGGGTATCCTTATTAAGGGAACACTTTTTTGATCCCAAGAGAATCGTCTTTATGATACTTCGATGATGACATAATTAATGTCGAAATATTGAATCCCGACACGATGGTGTGCATTTCGATACTTGGAGTATGTATTATACTATCTGAGATTAATCAGTGGACCTTTCGGTTCATGCTCCACTGTGTTACATTTTATTCAGCTGATATGTTGACAATGCAACATTGGCTGTAAAAACAGTTATTTTTACAAGAAAAAAAAATTGACAACAAAAGAAAGTTTCACTCCCATAGTGGAAAGTATCACGTAGGCAAAGTGAAACTTGCCTCGGTAGTGTGTGTAACTTCCTGAGACAAAACCTGAATAACAAATTCATTGTTGTTGAAGGGTGGTGCCTTAATCAGATTAGACCAGGTGTAAAGCCATGAGTAAGTTGGAAATATTTCAATTAGCATTATCAAAGCAACAAATACAAGATTTTCTGAAAAATTTAAAAAGCATCTGTTAAAAAATTAAGTGGCTGAGTATGTTTAATTATTTAAGCCGAAAGCATTATGATTGTTAAGAGTTCATTAAATGTATAAAAATGATTCAAAAACGTGTTAAGTTGGTTTTTCTAATGGAATGTCATAGTTGTTTATTTTTAGTATTGAAGCCTATGGTTCTAATTGAATGGAATGTCTCCTCCTCTGATTGGTCAAAGATTACTCACCCTTTGGAATGTTCTATTAGTTGCAGAGGTTGTTTCTAAACAGATAATACAGAATATTTATGAACATGTTGTTTTAAACAGTATTACTGATTTACAAAAACAAAATGACAATTAAGATTCAACAACTTTGGAAAAATGAAAATAAAGAACAAGTGAATAAAGTAATAAAAAGTGATAAGTGAAGAGTGAAAATGTGGAAGTGGGGAAGGTTGTGAAGGGGAGGTAATAAGTGAAGAGTGAAAATGTGGAAGTGGGTGAAGGGAGAGGTAATTACTGAATAAAGAGCTAATGTATGATATTATGCAGCTAGTGGAAAACTTTTTGTAGAGAGGAGAGTTTGAATTTTTGTCATTTCAGAGATTTGTACAGTCGACTTTCAAAGCAGGTTGGGGAGATTAAATTTTGTATGAGCAAGAGGCTCTGCATTTAAAAAGGGTTTTTCAGAGGGTTTTGTATTATATATTTTTGTATCATATATCAATATTAGACTCAGCCTGTGGCTGCTTTCTTGCAAATTTGCCAAAATAATAATGAAAATAATTTTAAAATAATATTTAATAATACAAAGGGGGCAACAGTCAATGATGCCCATGTGTGTTTTTTTAAAGAAAGAAAACAGCTATGAAGCAACAAGTTCAGAATACTTGAAAACATGATCTGAAAATAAAGATGTACCACTCTTCTAGCCATGTAAACCGGCAGGAAACCAAACAATACCAACATACTTTGTCATCAATCAGAATGACTCAACCCATTACAACAGAAATCTTTGTCATAATGTTAATACTGTGCTTAACATGAACATACTGAAATCATCCTAATACTTACTAGTATGAGTGATAAAGGGGATATTTGGTGCATGTATGAAAAAAGGGGTGAGGTACAATGGAAACGATTTGGTTTCCCAACCTTGAGGTCGGGCTTTCAATCCCTCTATATGCATTTCGCTTGTGTCCTTGAGCAAGGCACTTTATCTGAATTGCTTCTTTCCACCCAGTAGTATAAATGGGGTGGAGTTGCCTGCTACTTCACCAATATGGCAGCAGCACTTAAACATGTGGACCGAATGACCAGGGAAAACAAAGGAATAGCAGGGGAAAGTCCCCCCACCCCCATTTGATAGAGCTCGTCAGAGTAAAAAAGATATAAAAATAGCCAACACATGTCTGTCACAGTCTGAGAGTGTCATTTCTGGCCATCCAGAAGTTCCTATTCTTAAAAAAATCTCATTTGGGAGGGGGAACCCCTCTCGAACCCTTCCATACGAGTTTGTAAGAGCCAAAAACAGCACCTAAGAGAACAGATTAATTCTTGCATTCTAGGGCGCACCTTTCCAAGGTTTCCTGTGCAAGTTCAGCGCGTGATGTGGGCCTACAGTACGTAGTGAACCGGCGAACGCTTGCATTCATTTCACTGTAACATGTGAATTTTGAGGGAAGCAAAATTATAACTGCAAACCTAATTATATTTAGATGATCAGAATCTACTAATCATAAGCTTTCCATTCATATATTTCATGAAGTAAAAAGAGCAATAAAAAGGGTCTAACTTATCAAACAAACACCAGACACACTTCAATCTTCGCATCAGTCGCCGGAGAAAAATGATTACGCTGAAACGCCTGTATACAATACAGTCAATGGTGTTTGGAAGGCTTGATTTATTTTATTCATTTGGCATGACGGCTCAGGAGTCACAAAAGCGGAAAATCCACTGTCGCCTGAAGAACGTGCGGCTCCCAACACACAAATTACCAAAAACAAAATAAATATATAAACAGTAAAAAACTAAGATTTACAATAGAACATTTTTTTCAGTTTTGCCTTAAATAATTTAAAATTATCACAAACAAAAGAACTCTTTTTAATATCTTCCGGTAACAAATTCCAAAGTCTAACCAAACGAATGGCTATAGAAAACTTTGACATGTCATTTTTTGAAATTAGATGCTTAAACGTAAGTAATTCCGGATGGCGATTATTAATAATGAGACGATGTGAGACAGAATTATCAATAGAGTTACTTAAAAGGTTACACACTAGTAAAATGAAAAATAATCCCTTAAAGTTTGAACTGAAATAAGATTTAAAGTGTCTAGTCTCTCCTCATAGGACTGTTCCAGCCTCTTTTGATGGAGAATAAATCTGGTGGCTCTGAATTCCCTCGATTTGGTCAATATGACCCTTACGATATGGATACCAGATAGAGCAACAGTACTGAAGATGAGGAGAAACTAAACACTTATATAACATCAAGAGTACCTGAGTTGAACAACCTCCAGCTATAGAGCAAACAAAACCTAACATTTTGTTACACTTCACAGTGACTTCGTCAACCTGTTTAGCCCAGGAAAGATTTGCTGAGATTGTAACTCTTAGTAATTTTATATTATTTACAACCGGTAAGGGATGACCAATTAAAACATATTCAGGGTAGATTCTATTGGTTTCTAAAAGTGACAGAGCTAAATATTGACTAATCACAACCATTTTTACAACAAGTATGGCAGAAAGAATATAGATCAACTTACAGAGAGAAAGAAACCGATTGGTCAAATACTCTGTGTTGCATGCATGATTAATGATCTCACGCCCTCTGGTAGCTCGATCCCGCATTGTATGCTGGGACGACAAGATGGCGATATGCTTTGTGCAACACGAGTTAATAAAGTTTGTTAATGGAAACTCTAAC